CTGAAATCTCTCTTGCTTCAATTTCTCTGCTGTTTCTTGTCTCCCACCTTTCACCACCATGAAGGGCTCTGGCTACATCATCTTGATAACATCTTCATAAGTATTAAAAAGGCTTCTTCTCTAGGCTAAACAAGCCCTTTTAAATGCTTAACCGTATTTTAGAAAGTTGCAATCTAGTCTACTGTATTCAACTTTGAGAAGTTTACTATTTGGAAAGAACAGCTTAATTCCAATGCCATGAACATAACTGGTAGCACAAGTAGCAACACTAACACTTACTTGAGTTGTCCTTCTGCTGTGTCTGGATTATGCCTGTAGTGAAAATCTGTGTAAGGGGCTAAAATTCGCTAAACAAAAGAAAGACATACATTACTTTCACATGAAAATACAGTTCAATCGCTGTCGCCCTTTCCTCAGTCCCACTCCAAACTGTTACATTATTCCTGCTTTATTCTTAAGTTCTTAGCCTAAAACACTAAATTTTAAGCATTGTGCACTAACACAGAGGGTGAAATCTGAGATGAAAATGAAACATTTTAATTAGCAATATAATGCTTAATATCTGTCACTGAACAAGTGAAACTGCACCCACCTCTAATTCTACATCTGCTCGCACATACTGTCGGGTCTTTGGATGATTAATGAGGTGCAAAACTGTAGTTATCAGAGCCTCATTTATTCGGCTTAGCTGACAATCAATCACATTTTTCAAGATGGTACTTAAACCACCCCGAAGAGCCACCACCTCGGGATTCTGAAGTGCTGAATAAAGAAGAGCACGTCATTTTGGTCAGTGATAGGAAAGAAAACATTTCATGGCACGTGACAAACTTGTCATCTCTTTAGTGCATATATATATCTTATTCTTCCTGAACACTGCTGAGGCACACATAAAGCTTTTAATGGAACAGGCTGACACTAGCAATGAACTGAGATTTTGGATTAATTTATCATGAACAAACATACTGGTCAGTCTCCACTGTGTGGCAATTTCCTGACTTAATTCCAACCAAGTTCCCATATGGTAGTTTCTGGATTTCCCCATAAAGAGGTTTCAAGTTTCACTGGACTGACATGGATAAAATATTTATATTAGAATCTAAGTGTAACATATCATTTGTTTCTTTAAAGCAGAAGTCTGAATCTTGAAAACACTGCTGAACTTATCTCCCACTGATTTTGAAAAAAACTTTGAAAACTAACACCCAAATGGAAATCTAGAGAGTTCCTATAAACCACTGTCCAGATATCCTTTATACAGGGACACAAGTACTGACTTTCAGAAGCCACGTAACAACAGTACCCACACTAAAATTTTTTTTAAAGTAAGATGCTTTGGAGTTCTCTAAACTCTTGTAGATTTTTCAGCATATTGTGTATAGAATTCTCCCTACTTCCAACTCATTAGTTTAAGAAACATCAACTGCAGCAGGGAAATGTTTTTAAGGTACATCAGAAATGGGAAAGTCTTAAAGGGAAGAACAGCACCTGAAACCTACAAGTTTTTCACTTAAGAGACTTTGTCATTTTGGTTTATATCACATTAATGACAAATTCATGAAACTCACATTAAGAACACTTAGCATCTAATTAATTATTAAGCAAATACCATTAACAACAACCACATTAAAACTGACAACTAATTCAGAAAAATTATCTTACCTAGTTCACAGATAATGGCTATACATGCTCGAACCATTCTGTCTCTTTCTTGAAGACCATCATTTCCAACTGCTATCAAAGAATTAGTAATAGAACTGGGGAACAATGAAGCATTCACAGTGATCATCTGTGAAAAATGAAAGAAAAATCTCTCTGGTTTCTTCAGAATATTTCTCTATATGAATTCACAAATTCAACAGCATTGTTTCCTACATACAATCAGACAGATCCCTCCATCTATTACTTGGCTGTACCTGGTGAGTCCTCATAGTTATTTCTTTTGCTCTTGGAATTCTTTCGATTTCTATTTCTTTGTCAATTTACTTTAGCATTCTCTTCCTGCTTCAGTTTTTTATTTTCATATTATTTTATCACAATAGGAAAGAGTATAAGAGACAACTCCTGCAGTGAGAACTCTGTCTACTTCATATTTTTATATCCTCAACTGTTAGTTTGGGACTCAGAATTCACACCAGATTAAGGAACAAGACCTTGTGCACACATTAAAGGCAAAGAAACCCATTCCAAATAAAACAACCAATACCACCAACTCTTCACCATCCCCCAAGTGAAGCTTTGATCACAAAGGCTGAGTAGCTCCGCATTTGCACTTTTTCAGTTTGTGGAAATTAAACACACAAATTCTCTGTGCTACAGAGAACATCACTAAACAGATGTATTATTAAGGAGGAAGTAGGTTTTCACCTGACTGCTTAAAAAGGGAGCAACAGAATGTATTACAGCCCACTCAACCATGTCACTTTTTTTCCTCCCACTAATAAATAAAAGTGCCATGTAAAAACATACCCAATAGCCATCAAACACCTAAAACCTTAAGGCTAGTTTGCCACAGGTTTGTATGTTATCCCTTTTACTTCCAGCAACAGCAGACTTAGCTACAATATTTGTCCCATAGTCACTTCACATCTCCTTTTGATGTCTTAAACATATATTGTGTTGCAGAGATGTTGAAATGAGACGAGATCAACCATTACGACCAATACCTTGGAAGAGTTTCAACAACTTTATTTTTAAGACATGTTTCTGAGAAACTTCTCGTTGTGTATAATGTTGACACCAACAAAACAGGAAGCTTTAAGACAGGACTCTAAAGTAAAAACAAACTCTTCCCCACCCACACAGACTTTCACTTTTACAATGGCATGAAGAAACAAGAATTAGCAATAAAATGGGTGTATCAACCCACTCCACAAAATTGTTACCTGTTTTCTACTGATACTGACTCGTACTTAGTGTGAGGACACAAGCAGCCTCTCAAGGCTGTTCTGCTTTGGCTTTAAGACATGAGAAGGAAAGATTTATTTCTTTTAATATTCAATTCCAATTATATTAGAACAATAAACTTTTGCATTTGCTTTGTATCTGCTCTAGGTATTAAAATGCAGCTCTAAAGATCAAGGACAGGTACTGCAAAGCTGCTTAAAGCAGCTGTGATGAAGTAAGTAATAAAAACTGCAAATTTGGTCTTCTAAGATTCCTTTAAGAAAGAGGAAGAAAGAAGGTGGTTCATAATGCATCTAACCCAGACTTCTGCTTTGAAAAACACTCTGCCTATTAAGTTACTAAAAAATTGTCTTGTTGACATCTCTTAGATGGAAAAACACTTCCTGAAGCAACTTCATGCCATCCTTTTCATGGCTGAACACATTACTAAATTGTAAAGCTCTTACTAGGAATTCTAGAGATGATTATAGTCAGAGAGTGAGCACTCAAAACCTTCAAAAAACATCAGAAAATGAGTTTTACAAAATTTATTTTTTTCATCTCCCTATACTAGTTTAACCTGCACATTTTAAAACCAAGTTTATTAGTGCCTTTCCTAAATTCATAAAGCAGAATCGGTATTTTATATTTTGTTCTTCTACTCTATGAAAGAAAGAGAAGAAAGTGAGAAAATGTCTTACAGTTTTCAATCTATGCTGTTCTTGCATACACACTTTTGCTACCAAAGATGAGGTTAAAGAATTATATCCAAAGCTTGAAACTGAAAACAATAGTTCTGTGATGCTGGTGAAACCCAGTTCAGCTTTTACATGGCTCACAGTGCATTATTTTCTGCACAAGTTAGATTTGTTTTATTTGCCATAGATTATATGGCAAATAAATATATGGCAAATAAAACATTTTATTTGCCATTCATTCTCCCCTTCTAGACCTTTATATGATCTTTCAGGAATCCTGGCATCAAACCACTGAGTCTGAGACACTGAGGGAGATGAAGAGAGAGGTGGGAAAAGGGCAAGAGCAGGATAACAAAAAGACAGTGTGGAAATACAGAATGCGCCATTCAGGAATTGTGTCTCAGTATTCCTTCTGAGAGAATTTCCCAACTACTCACTGCTCTATGCCAGTGCATGCGTAACTGCTATAGCCTAGACAGCATGTGAAAAAGGTGCTGACTTTACTGGAAGCCAGGTTGTGTGGCTTTGTTTGTCTGACATTGTCTTTTAAGAAAAATAGAACATTGTAGGTAGCAAAAGGTAGTAGAAAACACCTTTCATATACAGCATGTACATTAGATGCATGTACCTGATGTGTGCACAGCACTCTTGTACAATGATAAAGGAAAAAAAAGCACTGATGCTTAGCTGTATTTTATTTTAATGTCTATCTTTCACCATCATTTTTTCAAATCAAACTAATGGATTTGTTTGTCATGCTGTCTCTTCTTTCATGCAAGGCAGAAGTTTTTGCTCAAGTAGGAAACACTCAAAAAAGTCCAGGAATAATGAGGACAAATTTCTGACCCAAATAAAACCAATTACAAATGTGCTTCCATTCCATCTTCTGATTCAAGCTGTTCTGACTCTACATTGCAGCTCTTATTTCAAAGTAGATTAGCAGAGAACTTTTATAATTTGCAACTTCCTCAAAGACCTTTATGGGGTTTTTTGGGTTTGGAGGAGGTGGTAGTGTTTGATATTTAAAACTCTTTTGGGCACAATTATTAATCAAGCATATTGCATTTTCTGTAAGACAGAAACCAAGGAAGCCCATTATAAGAAAATACAAAGCTTCCATATTTTAAACCTAAAGTATACATATATAAAAAATACATGAATGGGTTTGACACATGCCATGCTCCTGGGGAACTATTCTTCCAACTTTACCCAAGTCTTTGGTAGTTTTTAGATCAGCAGAAGAATATAAGCACAATAAAGAACAGTGAAGTTCAGCACATAGGCAGAATACTCTATTTCCCAAAGGAAATACTTTTAGTAGCTATATATGCCAATTTCTCTAGGATGAGCTTGAATACGTAGCTACCACATCTTCAAACATCTCATGGGTACACAGTACAGTAACCACCACAGACTAACCATGGCATCAACCTCTATGAATAATGTAGTAATGCTATGAGCATTCCTTAACTGATTACTCCAGGGATGTTAATTTAACTCATTTCTCAAATGGCAGAAAATCTCTCATCCTTGACCCACAGATGCCTAAACAGACTATAGAAGGAGGTCAAGTCATCAGATGAAACTTAATATTGTTCTTGTGCCCTTGAATTCACTCTTCTGGTAAATTTTTCTCAAATCTCGTTCAGTATGATCTCTATTAAAGGAAAATCAGCAACATTTTTCTAGCTCACATAAGATTCTAAACGATAAAATATTAAAATCAAAGCAAGTCTCTTCACTACTGTTCTGTCTTTTGAATTATCTGCTATAATTTCTTCTCACATGATAAAGGTATGGTAAGGTACTGGAGACTGTTTGAAAAAACTCTGTTGATGGAGAAAAACAGGAGTCAGCACAATTGACTAGCATAGCTGATATGACCATACATAGTAGATTTTACCTTTCTGACTAATCGAAGTGCTTGTGTTCTTTCTACTTCATTACTCTGTTGTATGTCAATGCACCTAAAATAAGTTAAAAAACACATTTTGTTTATAAAAACAGTAACTTTCAATTTAATTGTTAACAACTTGTGTCAATATTTATGCACATGTGTAAACAGAAGAACAAGAATTGACTTGTTTTAAAATCATGCCTTTCAGCAAACATACTCATTAGTATAGGTCAATTAGCTTTGGTTTATATATCTTCAGTATCTTCATTACAATCAAATCAGTAGAATGTTATCCAATATACAACGGCAAGGCATAACGCCTTCAACAGATATTTTCTGAGCTAGCTGCATTTGCCATTTGCAAATGAGACTAAACAAAGTATTCCTAATGTTTCACATCAACATGTTTTGTCAATGTTCTCAGATGAGAAAAGTCCTTTCACTGGAACAAAATTAAACAGCACACTAAAACGCTATGAGTTTATTTTTAAATAGAAACAAACACACGCCTGTATCAGTATATAAAATCCAATAAAATTTTAACAGAGAAAGCACTAGAAATGCTAGCATTCATATCTATTCATCATGCCTATTATCTCACTGATGGTTTGCCCTTTAGTGGTATTCCATTGTGTCACTGGTTATACTTAGACTACAAATTCTTGGGCAAGAACTACTTTCTAGCGCTGATTTTGTACTAGAGGTTCTGAAGCACAGTGATAACACAAAGAATCACACAAATCCCATACAACAATTTAAGACATGAAAATTATTGATATTTCAACCTTCTCATGATTAATGGCATTTATGATTAAAAAAATTCTTTAGATTACTTCTAGTGTATTACATACTAGGACAGCACTTTGTTTGACTAGTTGGTGTGATGAAATATCCTTCTATTGAAGAAAAATGGCCTTTGTAAAACCATATATTAAGAATGCAAGAGGATATGAAAACACTTCTTACCTGTTTCAACCATGGAAAAGCAAGTAATTTACAACTGTACAATTTACAACAAGAAGAAAGAGAAAAATTACCTGGCTATCAAATAATCCACTTTCAACTTAAGCACCTTCTGGAGAATACTGGAATCTCGAATAAGGTAGCGGAGGGCTCGCAATCCTGCTGCTCGCACCTCTTTTGCTTCATTTAGTAAAGCTAACCTTAGACTATAATGAAGAAAACAAGAGGGACAAACAGCTATTAAGCAGCGGGTAGACTCCACCATCAGACATGTAGCTACTACTTACTCATTTAAGATCTATGATCTTTAAAAATAAAAATGGTCTGCATTTACTTTTTTGACTTTGAGATATTCCCATTTACAGCCTAGAAGGCAAAACTTCAACCCGGTTAGCAGATGTAGACAATATATTAATCTGAAATAGCCAGAGACCATTTTTCCCCCCAAAACCAGCTTGTACATGCGTGAAATGACACATGACCAAAACCTGTGTATGATTTATTCGACAAAAACAGCTGAGCACAATATTAACAAGAAAATTAACAGGTGAAGTGCATTTCCTCTTCTGCTACACCGCCAACCCATAACAATGAGTCCTCAAAACAAAGTACTGACACCTAATCAAGGCAGATTGTGCCTAAGTAATTATATTCACCAGTCACAAGACACATTATGGAACCATGTGTATTTACATGAAATATGACAGTCGTAACTTATGCAGTTCCACAGAGCACAGCTTTCATCTTAATATGTAACCAAAATGCATTTCTTTTCAGATTTTGAAAGCATGTGTTCACACCAAGGTGAGCTCTCCTAAACAGAACTGTCATGATAATGTAATTTCCTAAATTCACTATATAGGTGAAAAGAAATGGGATACTGAAGACCTCTAGAAATGGAGTTTGCAAGCATTAAGGGGCATGCTGCCCTCCTCTTGAAGGCCTTCAAGAGATGTGTCTCTTTTCCTTGACCATGAGTAGGGTGGAGGGAAACCCTCAACCTCAGAACGGCATGTTCTAATAGGATCTTTCACTAGACTCCTAAGAATGTAGATACTTCGTCCAGTGAGACTGAATTTCTACTTATACAAATGGCTTATATTTTTCTTATTCTAGGCTTGTCATGCATGGTAATCAGCTACTTCAAGGCACAAAATCTTCTGAGTCTTTTGGTGATTAACTGGCCTATGTAAAAGTCACTGTAACAGGAACCTACTTCCAGGTGACATCTAGACAATGCAAAAAGGTTGCAATGCCATATGCAAATAAAGATGAACTGATTATCACTTTCAGCACCAAGTATGGAATTACTGCAGGAAGACCTTAATTTCTGCAATATGAAATATGATTCTTCACATAAAAGTGCCACTAAATGCCTTTTTTGTATTTTCTATAAGCTGAGCTAGAGGCAAGTAAGATACAGATTCCCAATACTGTCAGGTTAAGAAATATTCTTCCTGTAAGGAAAGCTGTACTAGAGAAGATATTTATTACCAAAGCTGTTCAAGAAAAACATGTAAGTAGCTCTTAAATTGCACAGAGCAGATAACAGGTCTTCTTTAGATCACAACCCATGCTTCGTTTCTGGATTTGCAGCTTTGCAGAGATGAACGCCTGAGAGTTCAGCTCTACTGTCATGTATGAGTCAGCTCTACTCAGTGGTATTTTTTTCTATGTGGACTTTTACCTCACAGTTTACAGCTGGTTTGGATATGCCAGTTTAAGACTCCTCAGCAGAGTTTCCTTTTAGGGCAGAAGTTACCATTACACACGCAAATGGTGTTGTTGTTATCCATGTAATTTATCATTAGGACAGCCAAAAACTTGTTCTGGGACTTTTTTTTTAACCCTCAGCAAGTGAAGTACATTACTTTTACATTTGAGAGGAAAATATTTCTTGAATGGCAGACCAAAACAGTCTTGAGACAAACAGTTCCTCAAAAGCTATCAATTCTTTGAAAGCTTGCTCTAAAACTCGCAAGAAGACAATTTGCAGACAGAAATTAATCATAGAATCATAGGATCCCTTGAGTTGGAAGGAACCTGCAAGGATCATAGAATGGCCTGGGTTGGAAGGCAGTGTAAAGATCATCTACTTCTAACCCTGCTGCCATGGGCAGGAACACCGTTTACTAGATCTAGATCAGTTTGCTCAGAGCTCCATCCAACCTGACCTTGAACACTTTCAGGGATGGAGCATTCACAGCCTCTCTGGGCAACCTGTTCCAGTGTATAAGAATTTCTTCCTATTATCTAATCTAAACTCACTCTTTCAGTCTGAAGCCATTCCCTCTAGGCCTATCACTGTATGGTTTTGTAAAAAGTCCCTCTCCATCTTTCCTGTAGCCTCCCTTCAGGTACCAGAAGGCCTCAATTAGGTCATCTCTAAGCATTCTCTTTTCCAGGATGAACAAACACAATTCTCTCAGCTTTTCCTTGTACAAGAGGTGCTCCATACCTCTAGACATCTTGATGGCCTTCTCTGGACTCACTCCACCAGGCTGATGTCCTTCCTTTGCTGGGGACCTCAGAGCAGGATGCAGTGCTCTAGGTGAGGTGTCACAAAAGCAGAGCAGAAGGGCAGAATCACCTCCCTCGACCTGCTGGCCACACTGCTTTGGATGCAGCCCAGGACACAATTGGCATTTTGGCCTGTGAGTGCACACTGCCAGCTCATGTCGCCTCTTCATCCACCAGCACACCCAAGTACTTCTTGGCAGGGATCCTCGCCATCAGTTTACCCCCTAGCCTGTACTGATACTGGGGGTATCCTTGATACCAAATATCACTGAGTCCAGCTCTTGGCCCTGCACAGGACATTCCCAGGATCACAAAACATGTCCGAGAGCACTGCCTGAACACTTAATGAACTCTGTCAGGCTTGGTGCTGTGACAGTTCTCTGCGTAACCTGTTCCAGTGCTTCACCCTCTTGGTGAAGAACCTTCTAATATCTAACCTAAATCTGCCCTGACACAACTTCAGACCATTCCCTCAGGTCCTGCTGTCACTGTTTGCCAGAGAGAAAAGTTCAATGCCTGCCCCTCCATTTTCCCTCCTGAGGAAGCTATAGATCAATTAATGCATTGCAACAGTGAAACCACTACAAAGGACAACACTATCAGGAAATTCAACAGTTGAAAGAAAAAGATACAAGAAAGGGATGTGTCACTAACTTTAAATAGAACAATGCAGTGAAAACATAGAGCAAACCAGAAAGATAAAAACCTAAAATAAAGGCCAAGAAAATCTATAAAGTTCCAATGAAAGCAATGACACACAGAAGTGTACAAGGTTGAACTAAAGTCTCTCTCAAAAACAAAAACTAAGTAGAAGACTCAACAGGCAATGACTGAACTACAAAAACCTGAGAGAAACCTCACCTTATAAAGACAATGAACATATGCTACAGCAAGTAGGAAAAACAGAAGTAGGAAAACCTATGTGCATGTTTATATGTTCTGACTTCTCAGCCCTACCACTAGGAGAAAGCCTGAAAAATTAAACTGGATCCATGAGATAATGCATAAGGAAAAGGAGAAGAACCAAAAAAGAGGCCAGCAAAAGTATGACAAAACCAAACACTTTTCTTCACAAGTCATTGCTTTAGAGAGCTGCATGAAAATTTCTATCCTAAAGCCTTGCTGTATTAAACAAAATGTGAGTTAGACTGAGAAACGAAAATGACAGAAGAACCAGAGTCTACAGAAACCATATTCTACTAATCTTTTGAAAGATTTGAAAGATGTTATTACAACAGCATATTAAAAAGCGTAAGTTGTTGCTGAGAATTGTATTAAGCGATATAAAGAGACTACAAAGTGATGAAATGTAGTTTCACAAATTAAAATCTGAAAAGATTAAGCCAAAGAGCAAAAGTCAATGGAAGATTTTTATTCTGACCATTGTTTCATCCTAATTTTCACCTAGGTTCACACAATCTACTTGTGTAGGTAGTACTTAGTATACAATTCTTGATTTGGAAGAAGTGGCAGTGGAGGACATGCAGAAATACAGAGGGCAACATAGTTTACATTAATAAAAATGGGATGGAGTTAGGAGAAACTTCAAAGGCAATTAAAAATTATCTGTATGCATATTCAATAAGATGGTGTTTCCATTATGAAATTTCAAACACATTATAAATACAAAATGCTAGCTCGAAAGTACAAATCAAGTTTATTTAATTGCACCAAAACAACTGAAGCTCTCTAGGACTGCTCTAGTGCTTCTAACTACTTACCATATTATGATGCTGTCATAGGTAAACCCTAGCTTTTCTTCAGCATGGCCAGTATTACAAAGAAGCTGAAAATAAAAGAAAATATCTATTATTTATAGTTCTTTAAAAATTACTTTACAAAACTGTAGATTTCAGGTAGTGCTTTCAAAAACACCTGAGGAATTTATGTCATAGCAGGGGGAAAAGTACCAACTTCAGACTTCCCTGAGTTTTTCTGCTGTCCATATTCTGTTCCTATACATGTCAGACACTGAGACACACCTGTGCCCTCTCACAGAAAGAAAAGCTTGCACCGCTGTGTAATATGCTTACTGGTCATCTTTAAGCTCTAGATTTCTAGCTGGGTAATTGGTAACCTGAGCAGAGATGAAAAATTACTGAAGCCAAAGCACATCTGGATTCAAGAGGGCTCAGGTGAGTTTTGAAGCAAAGACTGACACTGACGGTTCACTGTCATGTTCTGCCACAGTAGCACAGTTCTACAAAAGAATCAGAAAGAGCTGTCAAGTGTCCTGTAACTGACATTTGGTCTTGGCCTGCCACCTGCCATCAATTCCATGGAGCAAGTACCCCTGAAAAATCGGTGCAAAGGCTGAACTTATGCACACAAGAAAGTCAGATTTCAATTGTCGCAAACTCTGGACATTTCAACAACATCTCTTCATTTTGAGCACAAGATTGAAGATTTACAAGTGCAATTTTTAAGCCCAAAACCAATCTCAAAAGGAGCAATCTAGTGCATGCCAATGCTCTAGGTTCTTGAAGAAAGGAAACAGTCTCTTCTGTAAGAAGAGATGATGCTGTTCTCCTTTGCAAGACTGGCAGAGAAATTTCTAGTAATCTCATTTACTACCCATAGCTAAAATTATAAAATATTTTCGTACTGAAATCCCAAAACACTTTTCCAAGCACTTCCAAAAACTCAAGTGACTAATACTGATTGCAATAACTTTGCACTTTGTCCTCCATTTTCAAAACAGGCATGTGTTCAGTTCTAACTGAACTAAGCCAGGGCAGTATTAACAGTTTCTCCTCAGTCAGGAATTCAGGAAGTGTTTACGCTAACTGGCCAATACCTCTTCTCTGAAACTATTAAAATATATCAAACCCTGTGCCATTTTCTTTATATGTATTTACTGCTAACAATAAGAAATTTATAACACACAAAAGGAACAGCTAAATTAATGCTACTGTAAGTTAAAGTATTTAGCATGCTCTACGTTCCAGTTCTGCTGTTCATCTCCATCTGAAAAACCTGCATATTGCACAGAAACTGTCTTTACGTAAACCATTTTATTACCATGATGATTTAAATTTAAAAAATACTTAGGTTTCTGCTCAACAAGTACAAAGTCAACAAGAATCACATTACATTTTATGAAACTGTTTTTCATATTGCAAGAAAAATCCCTAGTGATAATATTGAAATCCAAAACTGTTAATGAGATTATTATATTGGCCTGGATCAGCTTTACATTTGGACTCAAATAATCTAAGTTAATTGAAATATTTTGGATTAACCAATATTTTTTCTTAACCAAAGACGATTATAAAACATAAGGAAAGTTTTTACATAACCTCTTTTTCCCCACCTTTCAAATTTAAGTGATAATAAAACTTGACAATTGATGCATTAACAGGTTATGACAGTATGTCACTTCCTAGCATCAATCTATTTTTATGCCATGTTGTTGGACTGCCTAAGGCCACCACTGCTGCTTTAGCATTTCTATTGACATCTTATGAACTGTAAAAATTGGCTGGCAGAGTGTAAGCAAAACCGTGTGAGAAGATAGTGAGTAAAAACAATTCATTGTTCAGTTTCAGACAATTACATCAATAGTTGTTTAGGCTAATCATTTATACATCTAAACCTCTCCCTAGCATTCCATCCCAAACACAAGTGAGAAATCCTAATTTAACACACCAGATTACCCTTGACAGTCTACTTTTCTCACTTTAAAAAACCGAATTATAACTTTTTAAAAAAAAAAATTTTTGAGAAAGCTGCTATTGTGCGCACTAGTGCATTTCTGAAGCGACTCTGCTATCATCGCACTCACCACTGGTTTGCATCTTGAGTCACTCCAAGATGAAACTAAAGCAGCTGATGTGTTTCAGGAACCCACCTAACTCACTGCAACTGCTAAAGAGCATTCGGTTCACTGGAGCAGTTCTCGTCTAGTTGTCCCTCTTACCACATATATACAGTGTGGTTATTAGCTCGTCAATACCAACTGTCTTCACCTACATACGTGCTTCTAGTGCACACAACTTCACTGACACAAAAGAGAACTTGATCTTATATGGAATTTCAAACACACTCATGTAACCTGGCAAGTTAAAACTTTCAGCATCTTTAACCTCTGTGTAGATACGAATTTCTGAATTTGATGGCAATTATTATAAAAGTCTTTAATGGTGTCTGTGCATACATGTGAAATATTTCTCATAGAGAATGAAGAGACAAAATCGGCTAAAAATACTTCAAGTACAAGATTAGCTACTTTAGCTACTAGTTTATTCTCACTCCAACGGGCCACCATTGCTTATGGATTAGCTTTCTTTGTAATTTACACACAGTAGTGTGCTTGCAGGTTTTCCACATCAAACCTGAAAGACGGACAGCAAGATCAGAACTCAGAAGTGTTTCTGTGACTTTAAAGGAGTGCCCAAACTCAGTAAGAAAAGTCAATTAAATAAAAGGAACAGTGTATCATATCCTTCAGGGTATCAGGCATTAATAGATGCATAAGAACCAAAAGGGGTCCAGCAGAGAAACAGAAGTCCAGAAAACATTCAGAATGCTAATTTAGAAGAAAAAAAAGCCCTGAAAATTTATCTTTGGAACTATTAATAGGACTGCATTATGTATAAGAGACTTATTGTCCACTTCATAGGCTGCTCTCAGAACTGCAAGAACAAAATTTTGTGTGCCCCATTTTAAGAGCACACAAAGTAGAAAATACATATCAGAAAAATGTACAAGGCAGGTAGAAAATACACTCATGAAGGCTGAGCCATCTGGTATATTTAGTCTAGGGGAAAAAAAAGGCAAAGGTAAGGCTGAATTGCTGTATGTTTAAAAGGGGTGAAAAAAATGTCATGGAAGCTGCTATAAAGGAGATACTGTTCAGCTGGTCTCAATGCTTTGGGTATTTGCTAAGTTATAAATGTCTGGCCTCAAATACATCCTATGAAAAACTCCGGCACTTTTTTCGTATTTCGTCTTCAAACAACATCAAGTAGATCGATGATTCTGGCCCAAATGCAGTGATATTTGTAGATGGCTGAATTCCTGACACAGCCAAGTAACAGTTATATGTTTGACTTCAACTTAACAATTAACATACATACCATTGTAGGGTAAGTCTGTAGACAAGTCGCACCAAAATATTAAAATCTGCTTTGGCTATACATTAACATATTTCATTAAAATGGCAAGGGATTATCATATCATATGTGGAATTTCACAATTCCTAATTGTTTAACACTTCATACATTTTTCACATAGAGATGTTATATAAACGCTATGAATTTTTTTATATTTTTACTTACATACATACAAGCTGAATATACTCTGCATGCTAAAACTGTCAGTGAGTCAACTTCAAAATTAAAATTGTGTGATATGATAGACGATGAATGGGAATAGCAAAGACTCTTTGAGGCCATGATTTAATATTAGGACAAAATGGTACTTATGCTAGGTCAGACAGTGACTAACTTACAGTGAAGGTTTTTTTCATGTTTACTGTCAGCTATGAGTTTTTCATGCTACTTGGATGAGTCACAGCAATATGAGTAACACATCAACATGTCTTGGAAACAGTAGCTCACAACAACAAAACCACAGGAGGTCAACAGCATACACAAGCTGAGTGCACATTGAGACCATACAAATTTATGTTTAGCAGAACAGCCACAGCAATTACTAGGTAAAAATATTGTAGTATTCTATGCATCCACAATGCAATTATTATACTGTAACTTTGGAAATACAGTCTGGATCACCATTGGTAATATTTATGAGGAGACTACTTTGTAGATCCTAGTCTGAAGAAAAACTCCTACTGAAATTGTGGACTCTGAATTTAGACACATTAGCTCTCAAGGTTTGTTCCACAGATGAATGTCCCTAAGCACACGTTCTGTTCCTATCCACTACATCATCACGAGATTTCACATTTTGCCCATAGTGGCTCATCTACTTGGAAGAATGTTACAGTCACACAATACTACATTCAGATTCTAAGACACTTTTGTTTTGCAAAAGACAGCTGAGACTCTAAAATGACACACTATGAAGCAGAGATACAATCTGTGAAAGCCTCTATAGCCACCTCCATATCCAAGGCACTCAATCCATATCCTAGTGAAATTCAGCAGCAGTCAAAAGGTAACAGTTGTACAGAGCATAACAGGAGAGCTTCATTAAATAATGAATTAGTTTTGAGATAATTGAAAGCATAAATATCCATATCACTTTATCACTGATGCTATTCAGTTGCTGTGTTTAAGCTGAAATGAATTAAGTTTGATTTTGTCCTTAAAGAAACACCTTTTTTTGACTGAAAACCAGAAATCCCTACAACACCTGTGGATTTTTTTTTTCAGTTCATTATTAAAATACTCCTTTCATTTCACAAAGGCATAAAGAATCTCTCAGAAGCTCTCAGTGGGATAAATCCTCTATAATACAAGATTATAAATAAATACTTCTTACCACAAAGATATTTTCCACTAGGTAAATGCAATTCTACAGTTTCTTCTGGTTTTCACTGATTTATCACATACTACTTTTCATGGGGGTGGGGAAAACCCCAGAGAAGTAACCATGATGTTTTGGTATTAATCAGCAGAAGCTGGGAAACTTCAAGGTGCTTGCCTCATGTAGCTGAGCCATATAAATGAAAGATGGGCAATCCTACTCAATTTACTGGAGCTAACTGCATATAGCGAGCTTGTGAACTGCTGTGATAACCCAGAGTGTCACCGACCATTTACTAGAGGTCAAACCCTCAAACAATTTTCAGGTCAGAATTTAGGTCAGCTTAAACAGAGATACAGGTGGTTTGAAAGGAATACAGACTGAGGCAGCATGCCATCAAAGTTTCTGCCTACAAAACTGCAACTTCACTTTTTAGGGGATAAGCAGCAGCAGGAGTCTCCTCACATTCTAAGCAGATAAAATTTCTAAGGCTGTCACTGCTGCAATTTAGAACTAAACATACCTTTCCATAGCCTGAGTATTACCAGCCTGGGAATGCTAACTTCTTGGAGCAGAAAATTTACAACACCTGTTCTGCAACAACAACCCATGTTCTGCAGCCAAAGATCCAAGAACATGAACATGAATGACTTTGCTAAGAAGTAGTACTTGCTGAAACTTGATGAATTGAAATGCAAGTTTTTGTAAAATACCATGTATACAGCATACTTTGCACAGTGACATCACTATTTAACACTTCTCTCAAAGGGAAATAAAAATGAAAAGGGAGTTACATCTCCTAGGCATATGAGCTTCACACAAAGTATCTGCTCTATCCTATCATTCTTAAAAATGAAGTAATAAATCCTGTTGACTGCTGACCATCATTATTTACAAAAGAAATATTATTTTAAATATTTAACTGCTGCATAAAATCCTGGAGTTTAGTTCAGTGATTTTTAAGGGGCGATTGCTTTCCTTCTCCTTAAATGAAGGGAGGCAAGGATAACAAAGCTCACCTTAAAAATCTAGTCCCCCTTCAAGTAAAGAAACCTAAAGCTACCACACCTAGGTATCTTGAAATTAATAGAACACTTGGTGTCTATCACCACCCTTATCAGCAAAGTCCATGTTAACTTACATTATTTGTTTCTACATGCTAAAAACATTTTGCTTCCCCTGACCAAAGAACTAGAACAGCAAAATTTCCAGGAAGTCTGTGAAGGAAAAATCTGGGGAGCAACTGCCTAGACTAGTCCAGACATTTTCTTTTAAGTATAATAATATTCCTAGCAGGAGAGTTAAATTTAATAGATTTTCCATATTATTTTATCCAAAGTATAGTATTAAAAATTTTCAAAGGCCCTTTCCCTGTCAATAAGGACAAATATCCTAAATAACAAGTAGCCTTTCAAAAATGGACCATAAAATGTAAGAATTTACCAACAAATCAAGTTCATCTTTAAATGTCCCAAGACAGGGTACAAACATCCTCAGCTCTTAGCACATCAGTGTTACTCACACAAAGGGGGAACTGAGACTATGCCAACTCATGGCAGAACAACAGAGTGCAAAAAGGAAATAAAACCATCCCCCCTAAGCTCCAAGCTTTCACTTTTAACCACTGGAATGAAAAACACAGAATGGTTACAACCACATGGCAGACAACACAGTACAATTTGCAACTTTTATTTTATTCTCATAACCGCATTTACAGTAGGAAGAGTTTTCAAAACCAAATGTACTAAGTTATACATTTATAAAGCACATATTCCAGGCAGATGAATGTAAGAACAAGTGTTAAAAATTAAATCAAGTAGTATGATTCCCTGATGCAGGGCCATTCTGATTTAGGATCAAAGTGAGGTTATGAACTACAGTGTCTATCTTCAAAAGTCATACTTAATTTAGGAAGTTTCTTTTCACAAACTCACAATTTCCTGCCAATCCTAAGTCCAATTTATGAA